CCCGGACTTTCCGCTTCGGAGACGAGCGCACTAACCGCTCCGCCACCACACCCTTGTGGGTGGGTGGGTGGGTAGGGCCTACAAATTCGCCACAGGCGGGATCACAGCGATCTGTGAACTGTTTCCTGACCATGAAAGTAATTTTCTCCACTCCCGAATTGGAATTGGGTGTTCTAGTGGTCTAGAAGTTAAGGTGTTCGTCTCTCATTCAAGGGTGCCGGAATCGAATCCAGGTAGCAAACGAAAAATTGTCTTCTCTAAAATTGTCTCCTTTCACATCCTTTCCTGCTCTCTAACAAAGTTCTGTCGTCTGCTTTTGTCTCCGCTTTCTGCCTCCACCCCCTTTCCTCCTTTACCACCTCCTCTGGGCTCCTGACTATTTCTGCAAACTTTCTACGGCCACTACCTAAAAAATGAAACAAAAATAAAAACTCTCGAATTCGCGAAACAGACTGAATTTTAATTGGTGTGGTTAAAACGTAATGGTGCGTAAGGACAAAGTAAAATGTCACTTCTCACAGTCCGACTCAGCGGTGTGAAACCACTGTCAGGACCAGAGGAAGTAGGGCTATTCCATGGTAACTGACTAGACAGATAAAAAATACCTGAGGGCTATTCCACGGAAACTGACGGGACGGAAAGAATACCTCATTTCTTCCGTCAGTTACCGAAACTAAACACGTCACAGAATTTGCATAAAGTAACTTTTTTTTACTTATGACTTGTGTTTAATATGATTTTTAATATTATGTTTTCCAAATGCTCTCATTATTCAAAGTTGAAATTAATTAAATGATATTGAATTACATTTACAGTGTTATCATTGTAAGAAAGTACGGCCCAAATGTCCTGTCAGTTACCGCGGGACAGCCCAAGACGGAGATGAGCGATACAGCAATGTCTTCCTCATCTGGGACTTGAACTCATGTCTTCTGCCTGCTGGGCGAATAACAGGCCTGACTACTGCACCACAGGCACCGGCCACAGTAACCTAGCTGCTTCTGGCTTTGGGAAAATCTCTGAAGGGCAAGGGTTCGAGGAGGATGACAGAAAGTTTGTGGCGTCTGTGGCCTAGTGGTTAGACTACCGGACTCGTAATCGTGAGGTTGCGAGTTCGGGGATCGAGCAGCGGGCCCGACGTTGTGTCCTTGGGAAAGACACTTTACATGAATTTTCCTCACTTCACCAAGATGGGAATGGATACCCGGCCATAGACAGTGAAAGATCTTGTCAGTATGTTAGTGTCTTAGCGCCTATAAATGGCTGCTTGCACTGCATTCTTCCCAGGAAGCTAGGTTGTGTCAGAATGCTCTCAGGTCTGCTGGGGTAATGGTATAGATTGTGAAGCGCATAGAGTTTGCTGTTGAGCCGTGATTTGCGCTATACAAATGCTATTTATTATTATTATAACGTCAAA